CGACAGCGTCTGTCATTTAAGTGAAACATAAATTAATTCATTTTTTGCTCACCTTGCTCTTGTTTTTGTTATCGTTGTTGTTGCTGTTGTTGTTGCATGGAAACGTTTAATAAAGTTGCCAATTTATATGTATGTTTGTGGAGGTATCATATATATGTAGCTTTGGTTAATTAAATGATTATGTTAATGGACGAACGGATGTACAAATGGGCAGCAGTAGATAAACAACAACAACAATGGCAACAGTAATCATAACAACAACCATCGATACCCAATGATGCGCACTCAACCGACGAGACCAATACAAATGGCGGTTTTACTGTTAAAATGTCAATAAAAATTTATTATTTAAACACGCACGCACATACGGTCGGGGGCGAGTGAAAACCATTTGCAATTATTTGCTGAGCCCCAGCAGGAAAAAATGTAATTAAGCGAGCAAAATTGATAGATAAAACAATTAAACAAAGCAGCCAATAAGGTAAACAACATGCAACGTGCAACATGCAGCATGCTGCTACATACTATCTAAGCAGCTTATTAATTATGCGAATTATCTGAAACAAAGAAAAAACAAAGGCACACACACATTCATATACGTGCATGTATGTACATAATGGACAGTGCAGATATTTATGCAAAGGTGTGGCTGGGCGGCAATCAAAGAGAAAAAACTTTGCAGCCGGCTGGAAAAAAAAATGACAAAAGAACAGCATTTTAGCAAAACAGTGGGTTAGTAAGCCTACCAATCTGGTTGAGCCGGTTCCAAACACCGCCTCCAGCTGCCACTGTGGCTCAAATGTGGGCTAGCATTTTGTTTTGCTTTCGATTTCTTTTTCGTTTACGCTTAGAATTTGAAGCGGGCTTCTCGAATGATCCGCGATTGCGCATAAATTTGCATTAATTAGCATGGTTCGTAAAAAAAGTAACGACGCACATAAAATGACATAATTGAGCCATCATTTTGGTAAAAATATTTTTGAGAAATTTATAAATTGTGGCTAGGCTTGGCTGCAGCTTTTGATTTGCGAAAGCTTGCCAGCACTTGAACTAGAAGTAGTCTTACTGTAGCTCTGAACAAACTTGAATAAACTTTTCACACACAATGTTATATATTAATTTACTGAAGATTTAATAACAACTTCCGAGGACTAACTTGATATTTTCAAAAGCAGTTTCAATAATCTTGACAATTATAAAGATACTGAAAAATTGTACGAATGTTTTCCAAACAATAACAATATCATTAATTGTGTTATAAGTGTGGGATGTTTGAGTGTTGAAGTGTCGCTCTAATCAATCATTCTTTGTGCATCATGGTATTACCTATGTCTAGGAAAGTAATTAATTGTAATGTTGACCAGTGGAGTCACTCTTAGTTATGTAATATTACAACAGAGTAACTAATTGGAAGCGGACAGTTGCCACTCTCAATTGGGAGCCAAGGTGTCTTGTCTATGCTTCCTTTTAGATTGCGCATACGCCTTGTTAGTCAGCAGCAAACACATACTCACACACACACACATACATTTAGCGCCCAGGTAATTGTTTAGTTAACATGCGGTATTTGTAAAGCGCGACGAACACACACACACACACACTAACACAGCAACAGAGTGGCAGTGGCAACTGGTAAGTGCACAATCATCATCACTATGGGCATGTGTTCTTCCACAGACATTGACACATGCACACACACACAAAAATACGAGTGCACATATAGACACGAGCACACAAACACATAAAGCGCATTAGTGCTGCGGTTCACCACTGTGGCTCTCTCTCTCCCCCTTTTCCTTCGGGTGCCCTTTTCCTCTATGGCAACGGCGCACTTGTGTTAGATTGCACTTTTTCCGCACTGCTTCAGTTGCTGCAAGAACAGCTGTGACAGCAGCAGTGGCAGTAGCAGTAGCAGTGGCAGCAACAAAACTAAATTATTACAACTATTAAGTTGCACATTTGCTGCTGTTGTTTATGTTTGTTGTTGCAACTTGTTCGTTGCTCTTTGCTCGTTTCTGGGCTGCTAAGTGCTGCCAAAGTTGCTTCAGGCACTTCTGGAAATTACTTCGTCTAACACTAAAACTGAAATCAACTGTGACGTACAAGTTCAAAATTCAGTTAACATTTGAATGCTAATTCGAAAAATCTATAAAAATCGACCACACGACAAAAATCAACTAAATCCAATCCTCATATCTTGATATTATAAATGTTTAGTCAAGGTTAATGAGTCTATGAATATATACATATTAAGTATATGTGTTTAGTATTTGGTTTGCTTTGGCTCATTTCTCGGCTAGGCTATTCAGTTTTGTTTGTAATATTAAAAGGCTGTTCTGATATCATTTAGAGCAAGCACGTGTAATATTTCCAAATGAGTTCTACATAGCTGTTTAGTTCGATCTAAACAGTTTTCTATCGCAAATGAATAAATAAATACAAAGTATTTCCATTAGCTATTAGCTTTCCACACAACTGTCCGCACTCTTCAGAAAGAGACGTCACTCGTCCATCAAGTCGTCAAGTTCAAAAAAATATTATCATTTTAAAGAGTTGAGCAATCCTTTTTTTCTGATCCCACATACATAACATTTTATTTACATGTATAGTATGCCTTATCAGTTCAATTAACAATTGAAACTAACTAAGTTATAAATTGTTGACATTAATTTCATTATCAAATAAGTAGTAGCTGCTTGTCTTAACATCTATCAAACAGACGTCAGCTACTTACATTCCTCATCATATAAATATGTATTTTAATAGATTAGGTGTCATAGAAATGCTGCCTGTATCATTGAAAACATAAATATTTTAAACATTATTAGAATACAGTATTTATGCATTTTACTAGAACTTGGAATCCAAATATTTACGCATGTTTGCACTCATTTTTCAAACAGTTTGTGTTTTTCCTTTGTGATGATAGATCACGCGCTAATTGTTTTTGCCGGCTTTGCACAATTTGTATAAAATTTGAAATAACTGCGTAATTAACAAAATTAAACAAGCGAATAGAAGCGCATACAGCCAATGACAGACCCACACACACACACACATACACACAGAAACGCACCTACGAGTATATTATACAGTATATCGATAAATGTATTTTGTTATGGTTATTAGGACAGTTGCCGACCTCCCACAAACTGGCTGACTGGATAACTGACTGAGTGACTGTCATAGAAAACAACACACGTTTGTTGTTGCCAACAAATAAATAAATTTGCAAGCGAAAACAAATTTTTAATTAAATTCAACGAATAATTTTATTTGCGCTCATGCGTTCGCCACAATTTTGATTTTGATTTATGTGCCAGTTTATAAAGTGCATGCTGGGCTTATGTGCTGCTTCCTTGTTTGTATGTGTGTGTGTGTGTGTGTGTAAATAAATTTATAAATTTTATATTTGATTAGTTTGCACACAAATGAAAATTGCATGCATTTTATTTAGTAGTTTTTATATATTCATTCGATGTGCTAGGTATAGAAAAAAGGGCGTGCACTTCTTTTTTTCAATTGTTGCATTTATGTGGTAAACTTTGAGCCTTCACAGAATGGGGAGGGGAATGGGGATGGAGGGATGGCAGGCTTTAGTTAGATTAAGTGAAATCGGAAGGGGCTGAGTGGGTGGGAAGTGGTTGAGTGGGACGGGCTGCTAGTAAGCTGGCGCGCATTTTGATTGAGCATTCGAAACGTGACCACAATTCTGTGGCTTTGCAATTAGATTATCACACACACACACACACATACAAGCATATTTACAGTCGGGGACATGCATAGGCGTGCAGGTAGAAAGGGAGCTGTCGGACGGTATTTGTACGTTTTGTCACGCTTTTTTCTCTAACTCTCTCTCCCTCTCTTTCTCTCTCTTTCGCTGCACTTTGCAATGTAATTATTTTTTGGTCTGCAGCTTCTGTTTTGATTTTCATTATACTCGTATGTGCAAATGTGATGCGCATTTGCGTGAATGTTTGCATGCATGCTGTGTAGTGCAAATACCGCATTAGTTAGTTGTGTGCAATTTAGTTCGTTACGCTCTGCGGTTTCCATTGAGTTGGTGTGTCGAACATCAACGGCAACAGCAACTGCAACTGCAACAGCCACTGGGGCAGATGATAGTCTGAGTGTGTGAGAGAGGAAGCAGCTGCAAGCCGAGTCCTTGAAGCGCATTTCAGGTGCTTCACCTTCTGGCAGGGTGCGTGTCGTGTAACTTCATACTCCAAAAAAAGAGATGAAAAAATCCGAAAACAACAACCAAAAAAAAAAACATAAGCTGTGACTCAAAGTAAATGCAGTTGGCCCTGAGCTGTCCTCAATGTGCACACGTCTTGAGTCTTGAGTCTTGTCTGAAAGTTGCCTGAAAGATTTATTGGCAGCCGCCTCCGACTGAGACACAGTCGCGTACGCAGTCGAGACTTTTTCAAGTGAATGCCTTTGGAAACATGACAAATTATTGTGCACACCATCAGTAGCATCGGCATCCTTGTCATCATCATCATCATCTTCATCGTCGAAATGCATAAAAAATGTATGCTGGCTGGCTCTCACAAATCAACAATCAACAACGAACAATCCAGAGTCGAGCATCGATCAACGACCGACTGCCTGTTAATAGCCAAAAGCCTATTTAAACAATATTGAGGCTGCAATTCAGCTGCCTTTGCCACATTATTTAAACAATGCAATTATTTTCTGATTACGTTGCTGGCGCCTGCCTAAATAGCAATTTTCCTATTTGAGTTATGCCCATTGCGGTTGGAAAATGTTTTGTTGCTAGGCACTTTAGGGCATGCCAAGTGGTTTCGGCCACCTAGGCGGGCAATGAAACATTTTTGTTTGTTATTTGCGTATTTGTGCATTGTGCAAACATGTTTGGGTAGCGCTTCGTTATTGAACAGCAAATTATTCAATTAATTGAAATTGCATGCCATTTAATTCGAGCATTTGGGCTGTGCTTTACTAATTGTTGCACTTTTATTTTCATTCACTTACAGCTGTGGCCCAGCAAAGCTTCAAATGCCCCGACGATTTCGGTTTCTATCCACACGAGACATCGTGCGACAAATACTGGAAGTGCGACAATGGCGTCTCCGAGCTGAAGACCTGCGGCAATGGCCTGGCTTTCGATGCCTCAGATTCCAAATTCCTGACGGAGAACTGTGATTATCTGCACAATGTGGACTGCGGCGATCGCACAGAGTTGGGTAAGACACCCACATGCGATCATTTTTAGTAAACTTGGATGACTAATTGAATAATACTCGCTTTGCAGAGCCACCAATTTCGACGCCACATTGCTCACGCTTGTACGGCATCTTCCCCGATGAGAACAAATGCGACGTCTTCTGGAACTGCTGGAACGGCGAACCATCCAGATATCAGTGCTCACCCGGTCTGGCCTACGATCGTGATGCACGCGTGTGCATGTGGGCCGATCAGGTGCCCGAATGCAAGAACGAAGGTAAGGCAGAGCCTAATGTAAATGTGAGATATGCAGTAAGAGAATAATTGAATAGAGGTTGATGGAAGAACACCCGCTTCTGTTCATTCCATGCTGTATACTTCTGAAGAATATGTTTCGAAGTCTTCTAAAATGCTAAAATCTCCATTGCAGAAGTTGCGAATGGATTTGCCTGCCCCGCCGCCGGAGAGTTGGCCAATGCCGGCTCCTTCTCGCGTCACGCTCATCCCGAGGATTGCCGCAAATACTACATCTGCTTGGAGGGTGTGGCGCGCGAGTATGGCTGCCCCATTGGCACCGTTTTCAAGATTGGCGACAGTGATGGCACTGGCAACTGCGAAGATCCCGAGGATGTTCCCGGCTGGTAAGTGGCTGGTTTTTTAATGAGATATCTCCTACTTAAGACTTAAATATATACTCGTACATAGTAAGCACTTGGGTTTGTTTTGTTTGCTTGAGCGCAGCTTTCGTGCCTTTTGAGTTTTGAGAATTTGCTTAAGTTTTTTACTTCACACTGCCACGCTTGCACTACTCTCATCACCTCAGTGTCTCAAAAGCTTTGTCTACTTTACTACTTTATTCACGACTCTCCGAATTCGCAATTCACGCAACACCATGGCCACTCTACTTTGCATACATTTACATACATATCTCTTGACCTGTTCTGACATATCTCTTTACCTCGTCCCTTTACAATTACAGCGAAGACTACTATGGCGATCTGGATCTGAAGAGCATCCGCAAGAGCGAACTTCTAGCTGGATTGAACAGTGAAGGTCGCACTAAGAGCGCGCCCAAAACCAAAGCTGCCTCCTCATAAACATAAAAACAATAACAACAACAATAACTAAACAACTACAACTATAACAATAACTACAACAAAAACAAATACAACAAGATCAATACAATTTCTATTCAACATTTCCCTTCCAACGACAACAACAACAACAACCAATTCACTCAATCACAATCGCAATCACAATCACAAGCATCACGCACACATGCTCAAAATTGAAGAACAAGAAGAAGAAGAAAAAGAAAGAAATAAGAGAAAATACTCAAATCCATCATATCGATATATATCGCATGCCTCTGTGGCCAACCAACTCTATGCTCCATCTCTTGTCTTAGTTTCTCTTTTTTCGCTATCGTTATCGTTTTCATATTCTTTTCCTTTTATGTCTTCTATGTCTCACTTTCAACTCATTGCTATCCCTGTGTTTCCTTTTTCAAAATTTGAAAAATCCAAGTACATATCAAAATTATAACAAAAATGTAGGGCTTAACGCTAAAATATATAATTAAATGTGCGAAAGACAACAAACAACATCGAGGAAAGATGCAATCTTTCAAAAATCAAGCGTAAAATTTAGAGATTTGTACATTTAAGTGATCATTGTTTATAAGCTTATTATTTTATTTTATACATAAAAGAAAAAATATATAAAAAACCCAAAAAAAAAACCCCCGAATTGTTGATCTCAGATTCGATAGGGGCTTAAGACTGGGCTTAAGTCAAACATGCCTTAATATCAGGTTAAGGGCAATAACAACGTCTCTCTATACAAGTCCACAACTATTTCAAAAAAAGAGAAATGAGAAATGTATTCGCGTAGCCTACGATAACAGTTATCGTCTGGTTTCTTCGGTGGTGAATTTTCAGCACTTTACTTAAAGTTTTCCTTAGAAATTCCGCTGATTTAATTGAGCAATGCATGCTAAAAATTTAGTAAAACTGCCGACTATCAATTACCAAATGCTTTAAGACTGCCGTTCCCCACACCAAGTCCATATATGTACAAGTATAGAAGTACAAAAGTTTGTCTGGCAACAATTTAAAGTGCGCACCCATAGGAAAGTCGAGGAACTTTGGGTGCTTCCTGGCAGCTAGAATACCCAGAAAATAGCGCGACTAGCGCACAACTGTTAAACACTCGTAAATTATTTATAAATTTGCGTCCGTGTGAGTATATATGTATGTATGTATGTGTGTGTGTGTGTGCGGGTCTTGATGTTTTCTGGCTGACTTTTGCGCCAAGTCTGTAAATAATAAGTAAACATAAAACTTTTTAACGCCAGCCATATTTGTCGCAAATGAAAAGTTGGATGCCATTTCTTCGTGAGTGTACTCGTATACGCGAGTGTATGTGTAAATGTGTGTGTGAGCGCGTTTATGTCGCTGCCGAAGAAGTTGCTCAATGTCGTCTTTTGAAATGCACGAGAACTTTGTTAATTATTCATTAGATTCTATAAACAAAAACGCGATACAAAAACTTTAAATGAATTTTCAAATTATCAACACAATTGCAGGCAGAACCAGCGCACTAAAGATACACACACACACAGAGAGAGAGACACATTTACATACTCGTATTAGTATGTATGTAGAGCGAGTTACACGTAGGTGTGGTAGCTCGTTAATAGCACGAAACTCTAACACAGATACACACACACACACACAGATACAGACGCAGTGCAGCGCGCACTTTGGTCCATGATGGTCCCACAAAGTCGAAAATGGGGGCCTGTTTTGGAGAAGCGCGCCCCACTAACTCATAAAGGCGGCGACAACTTTAACTTTCCTTCCCTGTGCCACTGCTGAGTGAATGACTTTTGTGAGTGTGTGTCCCCTTGAGTGTGCGTGTGTGTATGTATTAAATTGTCAACGTAATGGTAGTGTGGACAAACATACACACACATACACACGCATAACACACACATACACACACATATGTCGTTACACAGTGTAAAAACTTTTTGAAAAGTTTTAAAACTAATTAAATAAAAATTATAAAACTATACAAACTCAAGGCACAAGCGCACAAGTTGGGCTGCCGTCAGGACCACTACGTTAAAGGACATTTACTGCTTACCGCCTGGCTATGGTTATGTGCGAGTGTGCCCGAATGTGGGTAGCTTTTTTGGCTTGTCGCATAAGCTCAGGCAAATGCATGGAAAGCCCGCGTAAAGGGGCCACAACATTTTTGAAATGAGTCAAAAGTGGCCGCCATGCATTTGGCCAGTTTTGTTGTTTTAATTGTTGTTGTTGTTGCACGAGCTTTTAATGCCACACGAAAATGCACGCAGGCACTCACCAGCACAAGAACCAGAGCCAGCACCAACACACACACACTAACCACGTTCCCTGTCATCTTTTGCTTTAATGTGTTTTACTGTTGCTTTTGTCGGCGCCACAGTGCTACAGTAAGTAAGCAATCTCCAATTAAAAGTTGCTGCTACAAAACTAACCGAAAGCGCCCACCGAGTTGCATGCCACACTGCTGCACAACATTCCCAGTTATGTTTGTGGCCGAGGCTAGCACAAAGGACGACGCCCCCAAAAAAATAGATACATGAAGAAAGAGTTAGATTAAGGGACCACGCAAACGAAGAGCGTGAAAGATAGAAAGAGAGTATACAAATAAAACTGTTTTATAAACAAAAATGATTAAACTTAAACAAAGCTACACAAACGAAGCAAGAATATAAGTGGGGTCCGATTCCGAGCAGCCACTTGGTAACCATAGCACGCAATGTAGCCAACAACACTCGCAAAAATCATCGCACACCAAAATGTAAAATGTTCATTGATATTATATATAGCCTTGATATATAGGCTATAGCAACACTTCAAGTGTTTGTCAGTGCCAGAATAAGGTCGTAGTATAGTAATGCTTTTTGGACATAATACATATATTAAATCCGTATACATGACTAGAAGTCGACGAAGAACGAATACCTTGAACGATGAAGACTACCTCGTAACATTGTAAAAGTTGCGGACATTTTCTTGTTCCTTTAAAATGTATCTTGCTTGTTTTGCGAGAAACCTTTCCTCGACTTCTTGCGGCAAAAACTAAGCTTCACATCGTCCTGCTCGTATAATGTGAAAAACGAGCCCAGACACTATCTTCGTATTTTAAACCATTCTTTAAACTTATCATATTAGTAGAAGGACATGAAAATAGTCGTTACTCTAGGCACCTTTATGTACAGAAAATAGTAAAAAGAAGGAATAGTACTGAAACATTTTGGGACGGGCTATAAGCGTACTGCTCACAACTCAGTTGAATGTTTAAGTTTAAAATGTAAAAATATGTCAAATAATTCACTAAAAAATAATGTTAAATGTAAAATATAATAGATGCATCAATTATTGACGTTAAATCCCTAAAACACACATTTCTATTGCTACAAATATTTACAAAAATACAGGCACACTTTTACTAAATTGATTCTTCACTCAAGAGCCAAATTAAAAGTAAATAGGGAAACTATTTTAACACAAACTGCACCAACAGCGAAAACTAAATTAATTTGTCTATTAGCTCAACCAATTAGCAAAACCAAATGAAAAATTGGTCTGAATAGGAATTCAAAACAAAAAAAAATGTAAATTGTGCATTTCCAGTTGTTACTACATCATATAGAATGGCCAAAATAAACAATTTGTCTATGATTTTGAATGGACATAATTTTCTCAGTGCACTTCCGACTTCAGAATTATGGACTGACGACGACTGACTGGTGTTGATGGATAATAACTACGTTGGTGTGCAATGCTAGCTGGCAATGAAATCCTTTTAACATTTTGACTCTAATTAATTTTAATGATGATAGAACACACACACATACACACAAACATGCACACATACACACTAAATGGAGGTAGTAGCTGGCGTGGCGGGGGGTTCGGGCTGAAAAAATAAGTTATGAGCAGCTAACTGCCTGTCAATATACGCAGACAACAACGAACGTTAGCTGAAGCATCAAATTAATGTTGACCAGGGCCACTTAGTGAAGGACTTACAGAAACAATTTCGACCACTACTACTAAACAAGGGCCATATTTTGCAGCTTACCCAGCTCCCTTCTCTCGCAGGGCAGTCCGCGTTGTCTGCTAAGCCGCAACATTTATGGCGTTGACTTCTCAACAACAGCAGCAACAGTAACAACAACGACAACAAGAGCAACAAATACTCGCTTGGTTTTTTGGTCAATTCCATTTAATTTAATTTAATAGCCTTGCGCTTTTTGTCATTTGCTGGCCATGCCACGCTCGCATTTTATATGAAGCTACCGGATCTGCTGGGCACAGTTGCTGTCCGCGTTCGCGTACTAGTCGTCCTTATATTCGTCCCAGTCTCGTGCTTGCTTCAGCTGTCCTTAGAGCTGCATGTCCTCTGCGCTTTAAAGGCAATTTGTGGCCCGTTGCGAGTCTGTCGCTGAGCATGTTTGGATTTCAGTCGTGCGTGTGTGTGTGTGGTGCTGTTGCTACGTCTTTTAATCCTTGACGTCCTGTTGCTTTGCGCTACAGCGCAGGACAGAGAGCCGAGCAAGCAGTCATCTATTTATTCCATCTAGCCCTGCTGTTTGTGCTTTCTGTGCACAAATCCTTGTGTTGCGTGGTTTTGTGGCATTCTTCGTCCCGTTCGTCCTTGTCGCCCTTCCACGTTGCCGTCGCCTGAACTATTTGCGCCCATAACAAGGACATTTTTAACAAAATTACTTTTAATTATGGTTTTAATAAATATTTTGCTTTGTTAATTTATAAGTCAAAAGACACACACATTAAGAGACATGTGGAGCTGTGGATTGTCAAAGGAGCTGGGGATAACAATAATTGGTCACAAGTACAAAGCACACTGTTTAATTGAATTTGACTCGCATACAATTCTGCAGCCACTGCTTTATTATTTTAGATGTATAAGCTTTTGTTCCTGTGTGTGCCCCAACTTGCTGATGGCACCCTCATTCTTTATCCTTTGAGGACGACGCAAGCGTGACAAGAAAGAAAAAAGCAAACAAAAAACAAAACCAAGAAAATATTTTTCTTGCAAATTTAATTAAATAAATCATAAAACCCAAACCAAAGGGAATCTCAGCTCAGTCGCTTTAATTTTATGCACAAAAAGGGAATGGTTTTTTGTATTTATTCGTAATACTTTCTTTTCGTTTATAGCGAGGATTACTATGGCGATGTAGACCTCAAGGCTCTGAAAAAATTGGGCTATTAAAAATACAAACCTGCACACACACTCGCATAGAAAATGTAAGCTGCCTGAGCAGGTAAGTTACGTGCGTTCTGGCAGTGAGTCAAGGCAAAACAAAAAACAAATGACGAAAAAGGAGCAGCAGGAGCAGGGACGAAGCAGAGACGAAGCAGAGGGGAAGCAGAAAAGCCGCCACAATCACAGCAGGTTGAAAATGCTTGCCACAATTTGAAACAAGTTCTACAAAACTTTAAGCAGTTAATGTCAAAGACTGAGAGCCAGCCAGCAAGCCACTCGTAACTCTTTAAATAGCCAAAAACAATAGCTCAAAGAAACACACATACATATAAATAGTTAAATTATTTTCATTGCAACACTTGGCTTTTGTGTAAACTGCTGATGCCTTTTTAAAGTATTCGAATGCCGACTCCATATGGCGGCACTTATCTATTTACGTATTTCCA